ATAAAATTTATCTACTTGATGTATACAACTTAATGGTTTAAAAATATACACGGTGTTATTCAGCCATTACCACAATCAATTTTAGAACATTTTCATCATCCCAAAGAGAAACCTTAGACTCCTTAGATGTCATTCCCAACCCATGACCCCCAGCCCTAGTCAACCACCAATCTACTTCCTGTCTCTATAGATTTGCCTCTTTCGAACATTTCATATAAATGGAATCATACAATATGTAGTCCTTTGTGATTGGCTTCTTCTCCTTAGCCCAATGTTCTCAAGGGTCATTCATGTTGTAGCACGGATCAGTAGGACTTCATTCCTTTTTATGACTGAATAATATTCCACTGTATGGATATACCACATTTTGTTTATCCATTCATCAGTTGATGGATATTTGGGTTGTTTCTGCCTTTTGGCTGTTTTGAATAATACTGCTCTGACCATTCATGTATAAACTTTTGTATGGATATGTTTTCATTGTTCTTTGGTATACACCTAAGAGTAGGATTGCTAGCTCATATGGCAACTCTGTGTTTAAGTGTATAATTCGGCGGCATTAGTCCCATTCACAATTTGTACAACCATTACCACTATCTAGTTCCAAAACTTTTTATTACTCTAAACAGAAGCTCGTACTATAAAGCAATAGCCCCCTTGCCTCTCTCCCTAAGCTCTGGTGAACTCTAATCTATTTTCTTTCTCTGTGAATCTGCCTACTCTAGATATATCATGGAAGTGGAATCATGTAATATTTGTCCTTTTGTGTCTGGTGTATTTCACTCAACGTAATGTTCATCCATGCTGTAGCATGGATCAGTACTTCATTTCCTTTTATAGTTGAATAAAATTTCAAATGTGTATTACATTTTATTTGTCCATTTTTACCCATGGGTGGGCACTTGGGTGTTTCCACTTCTGGGCTATTGTGACTCAGGCTGCTGTTATATAAACACCAGTGTGCAAATATCTGTTTGAATCATTATTTTCAATTCCTTTAGATATACCTAGGAGTGGAATTGCTGGATCACATGGTTGTTCTATGTTTAGCTTTTTGAGGAACTGCTAAACTATTTCCCAGAGTAGCTGTACTGTTTTGCATTTCCCCCAGCAACGTACAAGGGTTCCAATTTCTGCACGACTAATCTCCCCTTGCCAACACTTGTTATTTTTCAGAAACATTTTTATAATAGACATCCTAAAGGCTGTAAAGTGGTATCTTATCATGACTTTGATTTGCATTTCCCTAATGACTACTGATTTTGAGCATCTTTTCATGTGCTTATCGGCCGTTTGTATATCCTCTCGAGAAAAACAGCTATTCAAATCCTTTGCCCATTTTCAAATTTGGTTGTTTTTTGTTGTTGAGTTTTAGAAGTTCTTGTATATTGTGGCTATTACTTCCCTATCAGATGTGTCATTTGCAACTGTTCTCTCCCATTCTGTGAGTTGTCTTTTCTTGGTGGTGTCCTTTGATACACAAAAACTTTAAATTTTGACGAAGTCCGATTTGTTTGTTTTTCCTTTACTGTCTGTGCTTTTGGTGCCATAGTTATGAAATTATTGCCATATCCAGTGTCATAAAGTTTTCCTCCTATGCTTTCTTCAAAGCGTTTTGTAGTCTTAGCTTTTAAGCTTCGTCTCCGACTTAATTTTTGTATGTAGTGTGAGGTGGGGGTCCAACTTCGTTCTTTTGCATGTGGATATCCAATTTGACCAGAACTATTTCTTGGAAAGGCCACCCTTTCCACACCGAATGGTCTTGGCACCCTTGTCAAAAATCAATTGACCACACATATGAGGGTTTATTTCTGGGATCTCTATATAATTCCATTGGTCTATATGTCTGTCCTTATGCCCAAACCACACTGTCTGGATTCCTAGAGCTTTGTAGTAAGTTTTGAAATCAGGAAGTGTGAGTCCAGCACCTTTTTTTTTTTCAAGATTGTTTTGGTCATTTAGAGTCAATCTTTGCTGTTTAATAGGAACGTTTCGTTCATTTGCATTTAAAAAAATTTTTTTTTCAACGTTTATTTATTTTTGGGACAGAGAGAGACAGAGCATGAACGGGGGAGGGGCAGAGAGAGAGGGAGACACAGAATCGGAAACAGGCTCCAGGCTCTGAGCCATCAGCCCAGAGCCCGACGCGGGGCTCGAACTCACGGACCGCGAGATTGTGACCTGGCTGAAGTCGGACGCTTAACCGACTGCGCCACCCAGGCGCCCCTCATTTGCATTTTAAAAGAAAATGTATTTTCAAATTGCATTAGCCTTTTATTTTTATTTTTATTTTTTTTTCAACGTTTATTTATTTTT